TATATATATATATATATATATTTCTCATTTTTCTTTTTATATTTTTCTTTTTATTGTATATACAATTACTTGTTTTGTTTTAATGAAATGAATAAAAAATTGAAACAGAAACTGAAACAGAGCAGGTTGGGCACATCTACATTCCTACCAAATTTCGTGTTGATCAGTGCAGCTGTTTCTGTGCTACAGTTGACCAAACATCTTGGGAAAAAAAAGAAATAAAAAATAAAACAGTACAAAAACATTATGTCCGGCGCTTCACGTGTGGGGGTCATAACAAAGCATGCAGCCAGGAAAAAAAAAGGCCAGATTATAATAATTGGTGATGTATGCATTCTTCGAAACAGTCTGGTTAGCAGCTCCTACACAGCTTTRTACTGCCAGCTTTTTATTACAGAAAAACAAAGAAGCCTGTTTATTACAAATGGCAACCCACCAGATGCATCTTTTCTCTGAGGCAAAATCTTAATTTTTTTTTTCCTCCTTCAGGTTTGCTCTGAAACTGGATGGCTGCATGCCAGTTTTACTCGAGACATTTTACCAGAACTGAGTCATCATTATTAGTTTATTAGTTACATCTGTAGGATAAAAGTCAGACTGTTCCCTGTCAAATGGCTTTTCGATGACTGAATTAGAGCAACTCGGAAAGTCATTTTCTGGGACAAATTACAACATCTCCACATGAAACAAAAATGCTCAGGAGCACTTCATTTAAATACTAATGAGTCTTCATATGTTTGTTTTTGGGAAATGGAAAACATTTCTAATCAGCAAGTGTAAATGGAGATCAAAAGGCTTTTTTTTTTACCACTATAAATGAACCTAAACAACATGGCTTAATGATTTTATTGTGATTTAACTACATGATTTGAATGCTTAAGCTACTGATTAAACAAAAAAGTATATAACTATGATATTTAAAGCGTTTAAGCTGTTCTGGTTGATTTCCAGTCTGCAGTCCCCCTGTATAAGAAATCCAGTTAAAGGAAGGAACTACAGCACATCTTCAGATGACATGAATTCACCAAAGTTTAAGAAATATTGAGGTGGTGACATATTTTCCAGGCTTGTCTATTTTTATTCAAGTGTCAGACTTGAAGGACTGGCAGAGGAACTTAAAAAGCTGAGGGCCAAAACAACAAACAAGTTTCTTTTGAAAACTCCAGGGAGGCACACAGCTGCCAACACACAGCTGAGCATCTGAGGGCACGTACAAACGCACACCGACACCAACGCAACGTGCCTTACTGTACATCCACGCGCGCGCACAGACACACAAGGCCGGTACGTATCGACACCCATCGGGGTCCCTAGAATGTAGGTCKTTGTGCGGAGGGAATAATTTTGTTCTACAGCTGTGTCCTTCTCTGTGGCCCCGCTCGACAACGCACAAACTCTCACAAGGATGCGCCCGTAAAAAACGCATCATCCGCACACACCAGAAGCAACCCACTAACATGTAGACGCCGTGCACGTGTGTCGAGTGCATGTAGACGCTAAAAGAGGAGGAGATAGGAACCGACAGCTCTATTTTTTCTTTGGCTCTTGTCACATGAAGACTCACCCAACACACACACGAACATCGCATCACTTCGATATTTAACATGACATTTTCATCAAAAAAAAAAAAAAAAAAAAAGGAAAAGGGTAGGAATGAAATTCTCCAAAAGAGAAGTACCTTGGAGCTGGCTGGTTCCGTTGAGAGCTATCATATTGAATTACACGGACGCACTGTCAGTGGCTTTCTAGGTTTATTGACTGTAGCTAGCACGGAGTAAATGTCATAAAGATATAGTGAAATGACTGTGGAAGGACACTGGTGATAAGTTTAAAAGCAGCAGAGGGAGAAGTGGGAGCTGAGTGGGTGCACTATCGGGGAAGTAAAAAAAAAAAAAACACACCGAAACATATTCACACTGAGTGCWATGCTGCCTGGATGAGGTTTGACCTTCCTCTGTTTAGACGCTCGTGGGGCGGCTTTGTGATTTTCAGTCTGCTCCAGTCGTCATGAATCAGGGATTTCAGTCGGAAGCTTGCTGACAGCTCAGCAACCAGACTGAGTTAAGCTGAATGGTGGCTGTTTTGACGCACTTTTTTAAACTTGTATTTTTTTTTTTTGCTACTGTAGCGTAAATTCTGAAAAATACCAACAATCCCCCATACCACTAGCAAATAAATAAATAAATTTGAAAAAAGCTCAAATTGAATSCATTCAGAAAGTGCAACTACCTAAGTTTCTCTCTTTTATGATGAAAATAGAGAAACATTTATTTTTTTGCAGAAAATGCAGTTTCGCAAGTTACTTTTCTTTTTATACTTTTCATTTAGATCATACTGAAACTGTTTGGCCCTAAACATAAACTGAKGATTGGTCTTCATCCAGACTAATAAGAACAATGAAAAAAGCCTACATAAACGTAACACTAGCTGTGTTTCCATTGACCATGAAAATGCGTAAATTAGAATTTCGAAAATAAATTTGCTCAATGGAAACACGTCAATTTTGAGAAAAATTCCATTTTCGACAAAATATTTGTGCGCTAGGGTGAGGTGGTTTTTCGGCCGTATCGGAATTGGTGTTTTTCGCAAAACTGCAATGGAAACAATTTTTTCGCATCCTGGGAGTCACGTGATCAACAACCGGCTGTTTCTACTGGCGAAAAAGATGATGACGAAGAAGATAACAGGAAGTATAAGTAGTAGTAATATCACAGAAGTAGTATAWAATAGTAAACTCACCGACTACAGTTTCCCAAAAACACAGCATACATAGCCGCTCCCAAGTAGGGACTTGTCGCTGGAAATTCTCGATAAAAGACGCCGACGTCTCCTCTGATGATGATGAGCGCTAGTGTCGCGGTAGCAATATGCTATGTGTTTACATCCATTGTCGCCATGTTTGTAATGACTTACCGCGAGAACAAACGTATTCACGTCTGACTAATAGCATTTCTTACTTAATGGAAACACCGCAGTTGCGAAACTGTGTTTTCGACATTAACAGAATATCGACAAGTTTTGCGCACATTTGCAATGGAAACGCAGCTAATGAAGACCATGAATGAAAAAAAAGACATGATATTCTGTTGCTTTGGGTTTATACATTATTTAGGAATGCTCTGTTTTGTAGGAAACAAACCAAAAAAAAACAATTTACTCATGCATAGGTTAGGGCAGCCATAGCACCCTGAACACACCAAATCTTGGCTGATCTTTGAAGGTAAAAGAAATTGCACCCACATTGGTCATGAGCAATAGAAAGCCTAGGTCATTGCCTTCTAGAAGGATGCCAAATCATAGTTTGATGGTAAATAGTCTGCTTATATAAAAAACAATAACCTAAATGGTAAATGGTACTGAACTTATAGAGCACTTTTCAAGTCCCTCCGGACCCCAAAGCGCTTTACACTGACAGACATTCACCCATTCACACWCACATTCAYACACTGATGATGGCAAACTATACTGTAGCCACAGCTGCCCTGGGGGCACACTGACAGAAGCGAGGCTGCCATGCACCGGCGCCACCATCAGCACCTACGGAACCTAAGTTCCGTAGGTGCTGAGATCATGTGTAAACAGTCCCAGAACATGTGTTGGTGCTGATTTACCTTCATTAAGTCAGGTCTGTGTTGGGTAAAGGACCAAACCTCCTGACTTTGGGCAATTAAGAGGTATTGGTGGTTAAAAAACAGACATTTTGAACTTTCTTGGCAGGAAAATCCTCAATTATGGCCAATGCAAAAATAGAACACTCTATTAGGAGTCCAAGTAAGCTCCATCAATTAGCAAGTGAGCACAAGCCAAGAACCCAGGACCAATGTAGAGTACTGTAACCGAAAAAAAAATATATGTATATAATTGTATTTTTTTGCTTAAACTGACTGTTTGAACCCAGAACTGTAAAAACTGTTTATAAAGAGAGTTTTTAGAAGAAGACAGTTGAGGTGTAGACGAGTGTTGGTTTGACTAAAGTTAAGAGTGGATTGAGAACTGCTGAATTGTTATGCTAAGCCTTGTCACATTAGATTCCATTCTGTTAGCTCTCATCAACATCATACCTGAATAAAATAGAAGGAGAAAAAAAAGCAAGGGGGGACAAAAGGCTTCTCACATACAGTATAAAACCAGCAGCCTTCACAGCAGAGAAGTGCTGATGTCGGCGCTGCAGCTGAAGACAGTTTGCCTCCGTGGATAAAATGAAACATGACTTTGTAACCGCAGACACGTCTGAAACTTCACATTAGTCGTGTTGAAGAGAATGTACAACAGCTTAATGGTAGTCCTTATCTACTGCAAATCTGCACTTCGAATTTTCAGAATAAATAAAGAAATAAATGTGTAGCATTTCTTGAAGGGATGCATATTGATCGCTGCACTTCACGCCAGAGGTTTTACTAAAACCCATAAGTTAYAGCCTTTATGGCCAAACCTTAAAAAAACATTAGATACAATCTCATGCAATATTGTGATGTCTTACATGATCTATTAGGAGTTGGGGTATGTGCTGGAAATTACTATCAGCTACTACCACACCAAATATCAGCTCAACATCTGTGAAATTTATTGAGGTATAATTGATATAGCCTATTTTGTCTAGACCAAGGTTCAGTAGCTGGGGAAGCCATTCTGACTCGAAAAGGTCAGCATCTATGTTTCGCACATTATTTTGCTAACAATCAGATCCTAGTTAATCAGTTGTAGATGTCAACCTATTGATTACTTTCTGAAAACATTTTTAAAAAAAATTGAAGTAGATACTGCATAGCTGTAGCATATATGACCCTGGCACGTACGCAAAGGACCAATGCACCAGAACTCWCCGGAATGGATTTATTGTTTTGGATAAGGGTCTTTTGGGGGGGGGGGGTCTCATTGGTAGGCCCAATGGACAGTGCTTCATCAGAGTTAAACAACAAAAAAATAAATAAAAAATATCTGAAGCTTCTAGGTTGAATAGTTTTTGAGTTATAAGCATTTTTGTATGTCCTGACACCCCTTTTCAGGTGAAGCCCCCTCTCAAATATGGGGTCTATTGTAAAACCGTTGGCTGGTGCAGTGTAGGTCGGACACCTCTACGTTTCTGCTAAATTTCACATTAATCGGTGCAGCTGTATGCTACGGTTGACAAAAAACTAAATATACAAAATAATATGACCCCTGCTTCACGTGTGGTGGTCATAATTAGTGGTCCATGAGATATTTTGCTAAAAGTACAGTCTAATGACCCTCACACACACACACACACACACACACACAAACACAGGAAGACATGGGCAGAAAAGACGCCTCCTAGCTCCTGAGACAAAAGTGAACTTATCATCAGCGACAGATTATCTTAAAGCAAACTAAGGTCAACATTAATGAGGCGGAATACATTTAAGAGCAGCTTTGGAATGTAAGAGCACTGAAGCATATCCTGTCAGAGGAAATTATTTAGAAAATAATTTAAATAAAAAACATAGAATAATTTGTACAATGTCAGGGGAAGATTGTGAGCCAAATCTGTCAGAATAAATGTTTTTAGATTAATAAACATCAATTCTTTAGTCTAGATCAGGGCTATTCAACTAAATTGCTCCGGGGGCCACAGTTAATGCAGACCAACAGCTCAGGGGCCGAATATCCAGCAATTAAAGTTATGTAAATAAACTAAGCATTACAAAGATCTGTTACTTTTGAAATAGTTTACTTTGCTGTATTTAATCATGAAAACATATAGACCCCTAGTTAATAAATGTAGTGATGATAAAACAAAACAAACAAAAAAAATAAACATATTATGCCTCTTATTTACCACAAAATATTTTGACATCTCTGATTTGCCAAATTTTTAAAYCAATTTTGTTTTCACTTTCATAGTTTTATCTATCAGTTTATCAATTGCTTGTAGTTTTAACTGTCATTGATGTTCATAAAAATGGTTTTTACCAGCTTGTAGCCAAGATTCTGACGTTTCTGTAGACACCAAACATGTCTTTGTTTAACTAAAAGAACAGAGTAATTAAAGTAGAAAACCGGTTGTTAAGAGATGAATGAACCAATTGGCGGGCCACATTTTGGTCTCTCGCGGGCCGGATGTGGCTCGCGGTCCGCCAGTTGAATAGCCCTCGTTTAGATTAAGGGCGACATTTTCTGTTCTGAGCCAACACCTTTGTAAATACATCCTGTGAAGTAAAAACTGACAGTTGATTTTACCAGAACATTTAGTTTGGGGCAGAATTCAAGGTATTTTAAAGTAGAATTTCTGTAAAATTGTGGGGGGGGCACTGAAAGGTAGAACTCTGGTTAAGTCAGAGAAGAAGCAGGACGGCGTCCTGTGAAAGAGACCGAGTCGTGATCTGACCGTGACTTTGTGTTGTCCAGTGAGGTTGGGCCATTCACACAACAGCTGGCTCTCAGACAGGGTCAGGACGCAGGGAGTCTCTCCAATCAGCACCGTGTAGTTCAGGCGACTGTTACCTGGGGCCGCTGGGATCAGGTTACGACCCTAAACACACAGAGAGGCGGGGTGAGATGGGAAGAGGCACTCAACTTATTTCTGCATGATCCAATTTTGTAAAAATGAAACACATTGATGGTGTTTATAAATGTTTCACTAAAATGAGTGAGAAATCACCAGCAGCTTTTTCTTTCATTTGCAATCCTCTCATCTGGTTGACAACACTCTACATAAAGAATAATCTGATTCTAATTATTGACTTATTTATAATTGTTTATGGAACCTCTTCCCAAAAAAGACCCATTAGTAAGACAGCAAAGATGTCACACTTGTGTGCACAGTTTACAAAGAGAAGACATGGATTAAAATACAAAAACAACAGAGCAATCTGAGAAACTGAAAAGCATTTTAAATAAACACTAAATTTGGATTTCTTTCAGTCTWATTTGTCTGTTAAATTTCATTTAATTTTTTTTACCTTACCATGTTCTTAACCTTTATCTCAGTGTTGTTCAACCCTGGTCCTCAAGGCACACTGCCCTGCATGTTTTAGAGGTTTCACTATGGGATAAATCTTGTGCCAGCAGGAATTGAATTTGAATTGCTCAGATTAAATCTGTATGTGCATAATTTGAAATCGAATGCATTGGTTTGAAAATGAATTTTACTAAAYTGAAACTGAATTTAATGATTAGAAACTGAGTTTAAAGTTTTGTATCTGAATTAGTTTGCTTTGAAACTGTAAAACACAGTAAAAGTGACAAAAACAGACAATTTTATTACAATGATTAATTTTACCTGTAGAAAATGTTACATTTACATCCTGTCATGGATCAGTCAGCAGTAGCATCTGATCAATATGTGATCCATGATGTGATGTAAATGTAACATTTTCTATATACAGGTAAAATTAATCACTGCAATAAAATAACTGTCTGTTTTTGTCACTTTTACRGTGGATTGCATCAACTCTGTTACAAACAGAAGGGAAACTTCACCAAAGTGAAACATAAATCTGTGGATCTGTGTTTGATTATTCTGCCTGGCTTTCTCAAGGACCAGGATGTGACACAAAAATCTGAATTTTGGAACTGAAAGTGAAAGTAGACAAATTGAATTTTTAATAAATCAAAATACAGTTTCAAAGCAAATTAATTCAGATACAAAACTTTAAATTCAGTTTCAGTTGAGTGAAATTTATTTTCAAACCAATGCGTTCAATACCAAATTATGCACGTACAGATTCAATCTGAGCAATTCAAATTCAGTTCCTGCTGGCACAAGATTCAGCCTATAGTTCCCTGCTTTGACACACCTGATTCAGATGATTAACAGGCTTTTGTTAAACTGCAATCAGTTACCAATTGAAATCAGCTATGTTGAAGCAGGGCCACATCTAAAACATGCAGGGCATTGTACCTTGAGGACACCGCGAGTAGATCTGATCGACATAGCATACTATTACAAAGTTATAAGTTATTGTTTTTATTATTATTAGCTTTACTGACAATTTCTATAAGATACACAGAGTAAAGGGGGGAGTTTAAATATGTTTATGACTGCAAACAGAAGCACTGAAGAACCACATGACTAAATCCTGGATTTTTAATTTTTTTGTACATATTTTTCTGTCATTTGAGCTGAACTATACGGAGCCCGTGARRGGACATGGGAGATTTTTTTTTCTTTTTGCGTTCCCACGCAAAAGTAGTTTATCACTGTTGTGCCTGACATTTTTTTTAGCAAACTCACATGTTCACCATTAGCAAGTTAGCCTACTGCTTTAATTCAGCTTTAGAATGAATATATCACACAACCACGCATGGAAGTGTATATGCCGATATTTTAACTCAGTGCAGCCACACAACATCAATGTCAATTTCACGAACTTGTGGCGACACATCCTGTTTTGGTAACCGGATATTTCAAAATAAAAGTCTGATTTAATTCAGTTCATATACAAAACAATCTTTTGCATGGGAACGCAAAACAATATTGCGTGGTAACGCAAAGGTATTGCGTGGGAACGCAAAAGGAAAAAAAATCCCCCCGTGTCCCATCGCGGGCTCCGTAGAACTAAACACAGAGTATTATAGAGTGAAAAATAACTCCCTAAAAAACAATACTTTTCATTTTTTGTTCTATTTTTTAAAGAAAATAAATACTAAAATAATTCAAGTCTGATTTGACATGTTGGCAGTGATGGAAGTGGGGCTGTTAGTGAGGAGAAAAAAAAAGAGAAACTAGAGAAAGTGCATTTCCTGCGAAAATGCAAGTGTGRATGCCTGTTGCTGAAAACGTAAGCTGAAAGCTGCAGAAGAATTGATTTGATTTGATTTATTTAACAGGAAAAGATTATTAAAAATCAAGCCTGACTCAGCATAATTGCTGTTTTACAGCAGTTTCCTGTTCTGCAGCACATAAACACTCAGAAATACAGCATCACAATCACATCATTATACACCATAGACACAAAGACAAACAAGCATACCAAATTTCAGGAAGGCAGCATTTGCAAAATCGGACGTCTAAATATTAGCACAACAAAAAGTGTCCAAAAAGTTGTAAAAAATGAAACTTGGAAGAAAAAACTGCATAAAACTATTAAAAATGGATAATTTCTGGCAAATATGCTAAAACAGCCGAAGTTTTTAGCATAACAGCTAAAACATTGCTACAAGTGTTTTAATTAGCATAAGGAAGCATAAGGAGCACAAGTTTACTGAATTTAGCAGAAAAAAGTTGTTAAAGCTACAAAAAATATGTATTTTAATAAAATTGCTAACTTTAGCTAATAACCGCCAAAAATTAGCTAAAATGGCAGCAAGTAGCTGAATATAGCAGAAAGCATCTGTAAGAAGCATAATTAGCACAAAGTAGCAGAAAAAAGCAGAAGAATGGCAAAAAGAAGCAGAATTTTAGCAGAAAGGGCTGAAAATGGCTAAAATTAGCCTAAAAGTAGCTAAGATTAGCATAAAGTAGCTAAAATTAGCATAAAAGTAGCTAAAATTAGCATAAAGTAGCTAAATTTTACATAACGTAGTAAAATAGAGTATAACCAGAACAATTTGTGTAAGGTTTTGTAAAGATTCAAAAACAATTTGAAGGGTTTTAAGGTTGTTGAAAATAGCCCCATTCATTTTCGATGGCAAAAAATGAGCTAAAAAAGTGAAATAGCTAAAAAAGTATAAATAGCTGAAATACCATGAGATGTAGCTGGAATGGCGGGAAGGAGATGAACATTTTGATATTTGAATTGTTGAAATAGCTCAAAAATTGTAGAGGGAGAGGCGGTCCAAAAAAGTGTAGGGAATAGTTAAAGTAACAATAATAAAGAGAAACACGAAAACAATAGTGTGAATGCCGTTAAGGCATTAACACTATTGTTTTCGTGTTTCTCTTTATTATTGTGTGAATGCCKTWAMGGCATTCACACAACTAGGAAAGAGGAGAAAAAATAAAACAAGAACGCAATGAGGGGGAAAATGATAAATAAAACAAAACATATTGAAAATGTAAAAAAAAAAACCCATCAGGGAACAGATGAGAGTGTAGCATAGGAAGGAACGGGGATTGGTCTGAGTAAAAAGAAATAAATAAAGGGAGTGAACACACAATCAGAGTTAGTGAGTTAGACAGAGAGAGAGTGGAGATAGCTGCCATGTCTCCCGCTGACTAAGCAGTGGGACGCAGAGACAGACTCCTTCTTCCAATCCCGTCGTCTCTGCAGGCTGCTGCCACCCAGCCCTGCTCTGCAGCCCTGTAAACATGCATCCCATTCCATYTCACAATCACACACAATCCCACGCCATCCCGTACGCGCACACACACACACACGCAGAGTTCAAACCCACACATGCAGCGGAGGCTCTGCCGCACACAGAGTTGTTGCAGCACACAAACACTAGAGGCAAGAAGCATYGCGGGAAGAAACCCTCTGACAAACGCATAAAGGGACGCAGGGAAGCGGCTCAAGAAACAACGTCATCGGATGATTTTAAAAACATTTTTTCCCTCCTGACACCGACGTAAAAGAAGTAACTCAAACACCGAAAGATGAGAAATTAATTGCATGCATCTGAGGAGCGCTACCCTCCCGCATCCCATCTCCCCAAATTGCATTTTTTTTTGTCCATCTCATCAGCGCTTCCACTGGGTAAGCAGTTCCACCAACAAGCCAAGCAGGAGATTTGGCAATTACTGTGACGATTTTTGCAAATAAATTATCTTTGAAGAAATAAATTACGATGGTTACGCCGCTTTCAGTCTCTTCATGGAAATAAGCAGCATAACTCCCTCTCTGATAACACAAAAGATAGTCAAGGGAATTCTTTCTCTCTCTAAAAGATAAACGCACTGGATACTGGATTCAGTGGAAATGTATCACACAGATGTGACATTGATCTCAAATAAATTATATTTATATTGTCTCTTGATTACATTAAGTGTCTCTTTAAACTCAGCCAGGATTTTGTTTCCAGCCCACACACTCCCAGCAGTTAATAGACAGATTTGTGTGAGAAATGTTGTTTCTYGAGTTATTTCCAAAGAATATTGGTCTGCCTACTTAATTAACATTGCAATATTTGTGTTGTATGTATAAATACAACATGTCTCCACATAAAATTCATGTTATTCTCTCTTTAACATACTGTGTCCAAAGATTTCAGGTGAGAATAGAAAGAAATAATAATACAATGATACCTATACACAGCCCAGAAATTGCCAATTAATTTTACATACGTCCATTCACTGGTAATGAAAGTGAAAACCAATCTAATCCAAATCTCCTGGATTATAGAGCTACATGCTTTCACCATGCCTTTCCGGCACCACWAATTAATTACACAAATTGAAAAGACTGTTATTTCAGAGGGCTGGAGGCTGCTGAAGAGAGCTGCTTTTATAGAAGTTGCTGATAGTTACTGAAGGATAGAAACTGGCCTTGGAAGGTGTGGACATTTGCTTTTAGCTTTTATCTATGAATTAGTGAGAGAATTTTTTTTTCCTCCTAAGAGACCTTGTATACACACTCAAATATGTTTTCTTTTTTGTACGAAGTGGGCCAGTGATTGTGTTTATGCAAGTCGGCTATGCACTTATTATTGCAGCGTAGGCTTGATATAACACACTTTTAAAAAGGAAAACAGTATTGGAAAAAAAAATACATCCATCTACCAAGACAAATGGGCACATTTTTTATGGCTGCACATTTTGATGAAAGTCAAACACAAAMACTGACTAAATGCTAAACACTAAATTACACCCTAGATATGAAATCCAAACGCACTAAATATCATAAATAAATATCTAATTGTTCACGCGCATTTTTGCTGTGTTGTTATCTTTGCTGAACTTCATTCAACTTTTGCGCCTTTTTATTTTCTTCTTCCTGYAGATTTTCTGGCGCTTCTTAAATAATTGCAGGCCTCAGTCAAAAAGGAGCTTGGGGGTTTTATGTTTGTTCGGTGGGGTGAAGGTGAGACCAGCGGGTGGTTTCAGGTGTTTTTTTTTTTATGAATCTTCCAATCTTTCACTGCCTCTCGCTGCAACACTTCAAATATGACGAACATTTGAAAAAAAGGCTGTAAATGATTTATCTAGGCTGATTTTATTTGGCCTACCAGCACTAATTAAAAACTGGTGTATAGCTTGAAGTCTGTACTTTTGACACAAAATAGAAGAAAGAAAGAGAGAGCACATCTTTCCCACTAGAGCAATTGAAATCAGTCATGTGACTGGTACATGTCCAGGGGATTAATCGTCATCAGCAAAACACTACAATTAATCAAGATATTGTTTTAGCTAATATCGCCCAACTCTAGTAAATGTTAAATATCAACTTTAATGTTGAATTTAGCTGCAACATTTTCCCAGTTTTATGTTGTTTGTCACTTTAAACAAAAAATAATTGACATTTCAGGTTGTAGCAAATATCGTATTTATTTGTGTATAATACGATCTCATGTATAATACGACCCCCCTTGTTTGAGCTTAAAAAGTATAAAAATTTTAATCCTCAAACTACCTCCAATTTCATACAGACTTCAAGATTTTTCAGCCTTTTCAGTCTTTATACATATCAGTAAAATGATCATCGGACTGTTCATTTTATTTTAACAACATATGTACTAAAAGGTATTTTGACAACAAATATATATCAGCTGTAGCAGCATCATATGAATTCTGGCATTTTACACATACTGTAGTCCACCAGGAGGCGCCAACACAAAAGTCAGAGACTTCACATGAGATTTGAGCCATCTTGTGGGGGAAAAGCAGATTAATTCCTACTCGCGAGCACCTCCTTTGGTGGGGAAACGTTTTTTCAGGGATACAAACTTTTTCAGAACACCGGTAGATGGCCGCCATTACAGACGAACATGTGTTCTATTTAGTATAGGCTTCGCCCTTTAAGATAGCCTTAAAGGGCGAAGCCTATACTCATAGAATCTGGGGTTACAAAACGTAACTAGCGTTTGTTGTTGTTCGAGGAACGGCCCAGTCACACGCTAATGTCATTAATTTGCTATCATTACTAAGGTGCAGGAATACTTTTTTACCCATTTTTTTCACATCATGTCGCCTGCTTGGATCTGTTATTATCTCACTCTGAAGCACGGAGGAGTTTCAGAGGTAAGCTCGTTTCAACTGCTTTTTATGATGCGGTCTCATTTCCGGACTCAGGCATTTTGTAAATGAAGCCGATATTTCAGTTAAAATGCATAAGTAAAAATATTTTTTCAAGTATAGTACTATCCCCCAACTTTATGGATGATTTTATGGATTTAATTTTACATATTATAGTTGAATAAATACGGTAATTGTGGTATTTAGCCAATAACAATATGACAATTAATCCTCTGGAGTCCCTGGATGCCCTCATATCCTAGTCACGTGACCAATTTAAATCAATCTAGTGGGAAATATTTTTATTAACACTCTCTGTAAAATCTGTTTCAAACTGTGTCAAAGGTACCGACTTCAGACTATACATCAATTTTTGAATTGTGTTGATAGACCAAGTAAAACCAGACTTATGGTAAATAAATTATAGAACTTTTTTTTTCTAAGTTCGTCATATTTGAAGTAGAGAGGAGCACTGAGTGGACTGTCAGTCTGCCTGGCAGCATTAATAGTCAAATGCCAAAAAATAATCAATTTAAATTTTTTCTGATGATTAATGGCACACAATACGATTTTTCCCAACCTTAAAGCAGGTTCTGGAAAAACAAAACAAAACAAAAAAATAAAATATAATTTAAAAAAAAAAACGTTTTGTGCCTTTCTGACCTTCAGTATCAGTGGGGACGTGGGTTTCAGCTCCAGTACACCAGATGGACTCAGCGGTTCAAACACAGGGTCTGGGTAGTAGCTGAACGTCTCATTGACCACCACCAGAGCGTTCACGTTGTCCATGTAGAACCCAATTTCATCYGGGCCGGTGCCCGTCTCAGAAAAAGCGAGCTCCGAGTCGGCCACTGACGGAGCGAGGCAGACCATCACAGAGTTGTTGTACACTGTACAGTTCTGAAAGCAATAAAAAAGGAAATGGGAGGTAATAAACTTTGCTTTTATTCAGTGTGGGGAAAATCTATTGTCTTCAAAAGAAAATCCTTCCAAAATCCCATCAATGAGGCTTTGAAATAAACTGAAATAATTTGATTTCTAAATACTCAGCTTTCATGAATCTAAAATGGTCACATATTGAATAAAGCTGCATTGCTGCCTTTTCAGAAATACAGTCTATAATTTTCTTTTCAAATGGATCTGCTGGGTATAATAAACCAATGCTTTCTGTAAGTCAATGCCCTGTGAAACTACAATGCTGTTAGAACTATTGGAAATGTAAATTGGTTGCAAATTTATGATCAACTGTTAATACCGGGCAATGTGCTCCGCTCCTGTGCTTGTACCTGAGAGTATTTAGATCAGTGCTTTAGAGAATACATGAATACAAGATGTCACGATCATGCTTGCCTCAATATATAGCACTGCTTAGAGGACGCCACTAATGTTTCTTGCATGATGTAGATAATTTACTACCAATATATTTAAATAGCTTCTATATTTGCATATCATGAAAATGTTCTATTGATCTTGATTAAGATTACAATGTCAAATAAATCCACACAATCTCACTTTTATGTCACAGTCTTATAATAAAAACACAAAAACTTTGTCTGATTTGATAGTTTAAGTCTTTGCTCGTTGATTATGTATATTTTACTAGAACAGAGCAGGAAGATGCGAGAAATGTTACTGTGATTTGTCGTAAATTAGTGTCAACGTTCAAAAGCATCAGCACGGCCCTTTAAGTACAAAGCGGCACTTTAATGAAAGCCTGTGTGGGAAGCATTGTGTAAGTTGTCTGACTCAGTAAATGGCATCTTTATCTGCAGGTTGAAGTGCCTCCATGTTGTTTAAAGTTCAGTTCTCAACCTTGACAACCAGCTTCAGCGGTTAGCGACAACCAAAGCTCTGGTCGAGTTGATCAAAAGCCTATCTGTACATGTTCCTCTTCTCATTCACACACACGGCACCTCTCAAAGTAGTCTTTCTGTTACACAAACACTGGTGTGACGCAGTGACATTTGGAAAGCTTTATGGCCCAAGGAGGTGTTGGATGTCAGAAGACGTAAAAAAAGAAAGCCATCAACAGGGCCTGACATTGAAGTGGTTGTTTATGGAGGTGCTCCAGTTTATAAAAAAAGGAATCTTTCTAAATGTTTCCCTTAGTTTCTATATGTGTCAGTCTAAATGTACATACTGCATAGCTGGGAGGAATTGCTAATTTATATTGATGCATAAAGAGTCTGTATTTAAATAGGCCCCTGCTTGGTAATGTACATGTTTGTAATGAGAGAATGTGTCAATCACACCAAGACTCACGTGAAAAGACTCTGCCTGCCCATACTTGGCCCTGATCTTTGGTTCTTTAATGGTTGCGAGGTTGGTGCCGCTCACTGTCAGTGGAGTCCCACCGCTGTGGAGAAGAAAAAAAAGTGCATAAAAGAGAAAATTAGCAGAATCATAAAAACTTCTATTTGGTACAAGAGCTCAGTTTTATAATTTAAATGTTGACAGAATCAAATCATATTGGAATATGTTTTCATTTTGTCCCAAAAACTAAAGATGATCCAGTCGTATATTGTTGGTACTATTGAGTGTTTATATTCTGTTGCTCAAGTTTGTCATATTTTTCCCGTACATCTGATGCAAAGATGTGCACAGCTATTTCTGTACCATGTTAGAGTAGGGTTGGATGATAAATTGATTTAATAGATTAATTTGAATTTACCATTTATAAAGATTTAATTTTGGGAAAATCAAGATTTTTTTTCTCCCCACCAGTGCCCTCTTTGGGGTCAGCCCATCCATCCTCCAAGACGCTTGGTACATGACATGACAATACGGCAGCTAGCAAAGAGGATCTACTTCTCAAACAAGGCAGTGTTTCTYGAGTTTTCTGGAACTCGTCAGGTTTTGCAACCTCAGACTTGGAGCAACGAACACCTCACTGCTAAATCTGTTTGAAGGCTCTTGTTACAAAAATCAGGAGTACAACAAATTTGTTTTGACACCTGAAACAGAGGCACTCTGTTAGGTGGGAAGCAAAATACATAAAATCTTAGTTTAGTTTATTTCAAGCATGTATACAAAACAAAACAAAAAAAAAGATAAAAAGTGATAACAAAATTAACATTTTTGAAAAGAAATGGGAAGAAGTAAAAAAAACTTATTTAATCCCTCATTTAATCTTATTTAATCCAAGCTTCTCCGAAGCTTATAAACAAAAAAATAATAGTAAATTCTTCTTTTTCCTTATTCTGTTACAATTTCATAAAGACTAAAACAACAATCTTTACGTAGAATTTTATTTAATACCAGAATATATTCATAAACGTAAATGTACATCTACATGCAGTGTATATGCATACACACATAAATGTATACATGCACACATGTACGCACATACAGTGGTTTGCAAAAGTATTCATACCCCTTGAACTTTTCCATATTTTGTCACATTACAAC